TAACGGTGATTATGTGATTGAGGGAAGCTGAGAAGTTTGCAAATGGGCTATAATGTTATTTTTTTCAGCATTATTTGAACAGTTGCTGAGCGAATGGTTAATAGGTGTAGACTACCTGAAATCTAAGGGAATATGGAACCTGAGGCTGAAATTGTCATTACTTAGATGAACATGAACTCTATTACTACACTCTTTTGAGTGTTTTATAATATATTGCACATTAATGTTCAGAACAGCCTGGACAAGAGTATGCCAGGTTTTTTAATAAAGATTTTATTAATTTTCTGTTACATACATATATTAATTTTTCAACCAACGTGTTGTCTGGGTTTAAAAACACTGATACATATTCAGTTCCTAATCCGTCATTTTTTCCTCTAGCCATTGATAAAATAAATCCCAAGTTTGGTAATATTCTGTTTCTGCTTTATCTTTCAGTCTCATAGTTAATCTGTCCATCTCTGCGCACTCCAATATTTTTCTGATCAATTCTTCCTCTGGTGGTAATCCTTCATTTTTCCAATATTGCGCAACAAATATTCTTGCTGCTGTTGTGACATGTAAAATCAAATATAGGCTTTGTTTGTTAATCTTTTCTGTCGTTATATCTAAAAGTTCAGGTTTAAAATCAATATGTTCTGCCAACATTTTTTCTAACCAAGCATGTATCTTTTTTCCAGTAAACCTTAGTTTTGCCACATGTCCACCAAACATGATAATAAGTGCCTGAGTTATACTTACATTTCCAGCATCTATCTGACATATTTTTAAACATTTTTGCTAATCTTGCTGGGGGCAAGTGCCATCCATAAAACATTTTATATAAATGTTCTTTAAACGAGGTTGGCATTGTATGAGTATGCCAGTTTTGCTTATGTAATCTCCAGTGCAGCAAAGAATGAGGAATACGTTACAAAGAAAGCCCTTTTTTAATTTGTTTATTCAATTTTTCTTGGAACTGTGCAACTCTTTAAGGCAGCTTCACTTCACTGAGATTTCAATGACAGCATCCTTTCGAAGTGAAGCCACAGACTGAAATGCTTCGTTGCTCTCCTGTAGAGGTGGTGTGTAGAAGCTGCACTTGGCAAAGTGGGATGTTTCTCATGGCTTGGCCTCCCCCCGTGACTCTTTGCTAGGGCAAAACCACACACTCCAGGAGGCACCTTATCACGCTGAGGGAAACTGACATGTCTCTGCAAGGGGGATTGGAAGCCATCTTTCCCACTTTGCTTCTCAGACAAGTATGTCAGGCAGCAAAAAGTTGAAAACAAGGCTAAAATCAGCTAGCAGTAAAAGGCCTGGCAGAAGAGATGTGTTTGTAAATGCAGAGAGAAAGGAAAAGCCAAAGGTGGGAGGGAGGGGTGTACATTACATCACTTCAGAACAATGCCTCTCACAGGGGGGATTTGGTCAGGAAATCTTAATGGCCAGATTCATGACAGGAGAAATATCCCCTACTCAAGGCTCAACGTTAAAATTGCAAATAAAGGAGAACATTTGTGGCTCAGGGTTGAAATGAGGAATCTTTGGTGCTCTCTGAGCTTGGTTGTTTGCTTGCAGACGTTTCATTACCCAAAGTAGGTAACACTGTCAGTGTTCAGAGAGCACCAAGGACCCCTCGTGTCAAACTCATCTTGATCCTCTCCCTGCGTATTTTCCCTAATCTGTCCTAAAGCTCTAAGCAACCTTCACCTTACTAAATTCATGCCGCTAATGAAGAGCACTGGGGCCTAGAAAGAACCATATGTGGGACAACCAAAGTCACCAACCAAGGTGTCTCATATTCACTAGCAGCACCTTCTGAAGATAGTTTGGTAGGAGGACCAGGTCTGCTGCAAAACAATGTTGCCGTGGCTCTTTGTTCTGCCCATGGAGAGCAGAGGAATCACAAGAGTTAAGGCAGCGTCAGTCCATTCATCCTTTTCTCTGTTAGAAAATGCTCCACAAGCATAATTTTCATCCCCTCCTGACAAACAAGTTTAAATCTACCCATGAAAGATATATTTCAGGTTATCTGCTGATCACCTCTATGCTAGGTAAAGGCACCTCCGCAGTTTTCACTTATTGCCACTGATTTTGATGTATGTAAATTGTAATCAATGATTCCCTAATGAACAGAAATGTATGGTAAAGCAGTCTATTATGTAAAATGTGAAAGTCTGTTAAGATATATCAGAGTTAATAAAATATTCCTTTGGACCTTTCAGACAATTTAAAAAGGTTGATTTGTTGTTATTAGAACTTAACTACAAAATGAAAGAAGTTACAGCAACTACATTAAGTAGAGCCAGATTTCAGCCTTGTTAAGAGAACCCTAAAAATATGTAGCTATGACAGGAAGGCAGCGGAATTCACCAAAGAAAAACAATGCTGACATTTTTGCAGTTTCCTAGATTTTTTTCCATCCCGGATCTACCCATCACATGTTACTTTGCAGAAAAATTATGGGTCAATATTGTAGCCAATTTTTGCAAATTAACACATCTATATTGGGGGGTGGGGGTGGAGGTTCATTCTCCAAGCTTGTGGGTTGCTTTCCAAATGTTTCATTACCAAGGCTAGCTAACATCTTCAGCAGAATTCAGAGAAACCCTAAATCCCTAAATAGCCTGGTAACAAAACGTTCGGACGCCAACCCACAAGATCGGAGACCAAACCTCCAGCCTCATCCTACGCCCGAGCTACAGATATTCGCCACTATCGCCCATCTATACTTGTCCAGTGCTTTGGTTCGTTACTTCTTTTCTCCCTATTGCATCTTTTACGTTTGTTCTGGGGTCTCACGGCAGTTAGCACAGTAATTTCAGATGACTGTTTTCAATTCAGTATGAAAGTGATGCTGAGTAAAGGCAATATTTTCTGTTACTGTTCTAAACTGGCTATATATAGGTAGTCCTTGTTTAACCACTGCAGTTGGGACCAGTGACTCAGTCATTAAACAGAGTGGTCACTAAGTGAAAAATGATGTGACCGGAGCTTCTAATTTTACTTCAGCTTTCCTCTGCTTTATAGTAACTGAAGGATACAACTCCAAACAGGGTGAACCCCAAAGAGCAGGAAAAAATTGACTCATGGGGAAGCTAAAAGGGCAAATTTTATAGCCCCTGTATATTTATCCCCTCCCCCCTTATCCTTTGGAATGCTCACTCCAGCGCTGGGGTAATTAGCAAGAAGGGAAATAATTACTTTCATTGGAGAGGAAGTCACCAGAGAGTAAGCAGACACACAATAAGGAATATACATCGAAATGAATGCACATCTGCGATGGCTGTTTTGCCTACTGCACTATGAGCTATGAGCTGCTTAAGAAGCAAGCAAACATCTTCAGTGTGAAATTGATTAGGATCTTGTCAATTTCAGGCAACAGCTGAGAGCCCACTCGGCCTTCTAATCAACCAATTAAGGTCACAGAACTGAGCTTGTTAATTTGCGGTTAGCACTTTTTAGGGACACCACTGCACTGCTGAGAAAAGCAGGTCAGGAAGGTGGCTTGTTTAGGCAATCTCCCCACTCTACAAAAGATTGAGGGGGGAGAGAAAAAACAGGTCAGGCACAGAATGACATGTATTAACTGACTGTAATGGTGAACATGGGACAGAGAGAAGGATGGTGTGAAGGCTGTAAATGCAAGCATTGATTGTAAAGTCACTGTTTCATCACCGTAGGTACTACAAACAGCTGCTATCCAAGGCAATTGTTAAACAAGAGCCTTCATTAATAAATTTGCCCCATAGTAATATAATAGGAAGACAACATCTCATCATCCGGAAAAATATTATCACCATTCACAGCCCTCCTCTCAGTTCTTTAAGACTAGGGCTTTTTACAGGTTCTAAACCAGGGGTCTTGAAACGTGGCCCTTTTATGACTTGCGGACTTCAACTCCCGGAATTCCTCAGCCAGTGTGCCTAGCTGAGGAATTCCAGGAGTTGAAGTCCGCAAGTCATAAAAGGACCAAGTTTGAAGACCCTGTTCTAAATATTTACTGTATGAAATGTGACCACTGAATTTCAATTGTTCCATAACAAAAACCTTTGAATGGAAATCATAATTCATCACAAACTCTTTTCTCTGAAGAAATATCTCTAAAATTGGAAATAAACTGGAAAGAATAATAAATTCCATTCTACTGTATGGTTAAATCTTTCATAATATCAAGCTATTCTACACACCCTTTTTTGAAGTTTTTTTTCTCCTTATAATAATGTGGAATTATAAAAAAACAATAGAAGAAAGCAATAGTAAGTAAGCAGTAATAAGATTCAACAAAGTTTAGATCAATTTAAAATTGATTTTTGAATAGATTTTCAGCCAAAGGATTACCTAGATAAAAGAAACTACAGATAGTAATAAAAAAAATCAGATACTATCTCATTAAATTTCCAGTAAACACTAAATAATGATGTGTATATAGAAAAACAAAACTCTAATTTTTGATGGACAAGCTAACTGGAAGTCTTTATAATAGCTAGGTAATATTATTTTCACTCACCATTTTTAGTATTGGAAAATTGTATAGGGAAGTTAGGAAAATATATTGTTCAGAGTCCCATTTTTCTTTATATAGGCAGTCCTTGAATTACAACCACAATTGAGCCCAAAATTGCCATTACTAAGCAAGGCAGTTGTTAAGTGAGATTTGCCCCATTTCATGATCTTTTTGCGACAGTTGTTGAGCAAATCAGTGTAATTCTTAAGTGAATCATGCAGTTGTTCAGCAAATCTGGTTTCTCCCATTGACTTTGCTTGTTGGAAACCAGCTGGGAAGGTTACAAATGGTGATCCTGGGGCAGTACAATTGTCATAAATACATGCCAGTTGCCAAGCATCTGAATTTTGATCACATAACCCTGGGGATGCTGCAATATCCTAAGTGCCTCACTTGCAGTTCAATTGTCATCATGGCTCTTCAGAGGAAAAGTCAGCCCAAAAGTGCCATTTCACAGATTTGTCACATTGGGTGCCTACATATATAAAACTGTTATTTGCTTTATTTTCAGATCGATAAGTATGCTCAGCGGGACCTGAAGAAAGGGCTTCATTTGTATGGAACTGATGGAAATATTGGTTTAACTAATGCATGGAGCATCATACAAACAGATGTAAGCTTGTACTTCTTCACTGTTCTTTCCCTTAATGCCAGCAGGTGCTACACACACCTCCTACACACCCATTTGCCTGGCTTTGAATTTCCAATGGAGATAATTTAAGGTGGCTTTATTTAAGCATTTGCCTGAAAAAAGCAAATACCACTGCAATGTACCTGAGCTGGAATTAAGGCCCTGATGTTTAATGGATCTTTCCCTGGCTTACTTTGAAATCTACAGATAAGGGGTTAACTTGATGCTTTGGTGCTCATCAGCATGCAGAGAGGCACACATGCAGACAAACAAAATGAATAGAAAATCCCAGAAATAATTACAGAGCACAGGAGATACCACCTTTCAGTCATCCTGCTAGCTAGAACATGAGTGATACCAGAGAAAGTAAGACAAAGAATTTCACAAGCACTTTTCTTCAGTCTTGTTTGTTTCCTCTTTTGCATCCAAGGCACTACTGAATAGGTCAGCAGTCAAGAGAAGGAACATAGTTGTTCTAGCTACACACTTGAGAATAAAAGAACCTGAGAAACACGAGGATCAGGGTTATGCCTTTTTAATCAGCTTTCCATCTCACACAAAGCCCACAGAATGTAATTTGCAATTCATATGAATTTGAAACAATAGTTATAATAATATGAGCACAGGGAAACATGTATATATTTCCCTGCATACACACACACACACACACACACACACAAGTGTTTGTGTGTATGTGTGTATGTGTGTGTGTAATTTTTGTTCATGTTTCCCTGAACTCATATTGTTATTACTATATTGTTTCAATTCACCAATGAAAATTTGTGCATACAAATAAATCCTAAAGATTTCATTGATTAGCCAACCCTGGAAATCAGAAGAATGAACTTCAACAGTTGAGACTTTGATATATATTAAATGTTGAGACCATTTTAGTCTCACTTTGTCCTTGTCCTGGCCCCAGAATTGCCATACCATTTGTTTCTACTGAAACATTTTTTACAGTAAAATTGATAATGGCTTAATAGGGTTGCAGCAATTTTATAGGTACTAATATGCTTGGGGGATGCTGCAAGCTTGATTGGAATATAGGCTCTAGTCTCTAAATATGTATTTTCTAGAGCAGGGCTTTTCAACCAGTGGTACAGGTACCACCTGTGGTACATTGGCACCTGGCAGGTGGTACGCGACCATCCTAGAAAAGTGGTAGTGGGGGAGGGGAATGAGCTGAACCAGTGGCAGCACTGCACAAGCCTGAGCGAGAGACGGCTGGAGCTGCAGGGCTGTCAGGGCTCAGCGGAAGCGCCAGGATCAGCGCCAGGCTCCAGCTGGAGCTCGGCGCTGATCCTGGCGCTTCTGCTGAGCTCAGAAGAAGCACCAATCAGCTGGAATGTTGCAGCATCTCCAGGGTCTTGTGATTTACATTTAGATGCTTGGCAACTGATTCATATTTATGATGGTCACAGTGTCCCAGGGTCTTGTGAAGTGACCAAAACCTGCTGCAACCACCCAGCAGACGGGGGGGGGGGATAAAAACGAAACACCCCCCACCCCACCCACGCTGCCAATCCTCAACAGAAATGCTCACAACAATGAAAATCTCGGACAGGAGGAAGAGCACCGCCGGATGGGCAGGCAGGTGTCTTGCTTGGCTGTGCCTTGGGGGGCACTTTTTCCAGTGCCATTGTAACTTCGAACAGTCACTAAGCGAACTGTTGTAAGTTGAGGACTACCTGTACTTTATCACTTTTTTCCTTTTTTTTTTGGTCATCAAGTTTTTGACACCTTGCTAGGCGACTGGTGGTACTCGGATATTGCCATATCCTAAAAGTGGTACAATGGGTGAAAAGGTTGAAAAGCCCTGTTCTAGAGATCCAAAATTCTTACTATGGATTCTAAAACTCTTAAAGCATTGTCCTGCACAGTTCTCAATAAAGCAAATAAAACTTGTGTTCATTATGCAACGGCATTTCTTTGGTTGTTCTCTTAAAAATAGTGAACTGTCCATTTTAATTTTAAATTTTGTCATCTATATGTACATGAGACATCTCAATTTGTTTCTGTTGATTAAAAAAATAATTAAATATTCCTGTTATTGCAGCTATATTTCAGATCACCTGAATTAGCCAGTACTCTCCACTGTTATTTAAAATTGCTCCAGTTTTCATACAGTTCATCACTGGTTTAATATTGCTTTTGCATAATCTGCATAATATGAATGGTTAATCACAATCCAAATAATTTGTTCTCTTTCCAGTTGAAGAAGCTACATTGTTTGTCCAAATGCCTCTCATCCATTTGTATGGATGTACATTCTCAATTCCAAATTGCTGTGACATGTTACTTTGCACAAATAGAAGAAGGCATTAATTTTACGAATACCAAGATAGAAAAAAATATATATGAGGGCACAAAAGATTAGTGACCTGCTCATCAGGACTCAGGGGCAGAATAGAAATAGATTTTCAAATATATTATCATAATATGAAGACTTTAATTTGTTGGCAGAATTAAATTATTAAACAACATAATTAGATTTCAGTTTTGAAATATTGCTTCTGTTGGATCTCCTATTGTAAGTGTAGTAGGATTTCTTCAACCATGAGATAGAAGACTTCATTCCAATGAGCAGATAAAATCTAAATTTCCCAACTCACAGTTTCTCTGTATATTGTTTTTCTTAAAACATTTGTCTGAAAAATAATTAAATAGGAACTAAATGTAACTGATCCCAATATTTTATATTCTCTGTTTCTTTTTCTTTTTTCTTTTTGTATGACTAATATGACTGCATACAACTTGTTTATGTTGGAATGTAAATTAGTACACAGTTTTTTCTTCTCCCAATATTTTTATATGAATAAACAAAACAACAAAACTACAAAAGTTAATTTAAAGAATCCCACTGTACTGTCAATTTTCCCCCATTCCCTGCTCAGTTAAAATTTTGAACTGGAGAAGAATTGTACATTCCTTGTGATACTTACCTATTTTCAGGCTAGGGTTATGCACCACAAATATTCACATTCAGAATCCATTCATTGTGAGACTTGACTTCAGTAGTTAATAAATAACATAACTGCCTTGGCATCTCTACAGAGAAAAGACTCAAATTTCCCATATATGTCGAAGTGTACTTGCAGGCAGGATCAAAGATCTGCTATTTTTCTCAGTTATCCCCCCTTAGTCACTTTTGCCATGGGAAAGTTGCTTCAGGCAATATTTGACAATAAAAGAATGCAGAGCTTTTGATTGCAGTCGCTTCAGAAAGGTTGGAGGGCATAGTTTTGTGCATCAAGAAATCTACTTGCTTTGGGACAACAGGCAAGGAATTCTAAAAGCGTGAAACAAAAAGAAGGCAGGAATTTCACAATTTCCACATTTTTCTCAGCCTTAAAGGCAAAAGCAAAATGGACAATTTGGAACAAATCAGAATGCTAATTTGCCACATCCATGTGCAAGTAGGCAATTAAAATGTCCCAACCATGTCATCATTTGAGAGTTGGAGAACTGAACTAGGTAGTTATCCCACAACCCAATCATGCAATAATTGTTAGCTGCCCAGAGTCATGTGTATGAGATGGACAGCCATAGAAACCTATTAAATAAATAAATAAACCCACATTCAGTGGGTGCTGCTCATTAGTTAAATGTTATCTGGTTGGCATAACTGAAAACAATCTATGAACTCACCTGCCCAGTTGCACAGCGTGACTACCTTTTTTCAGCTTTGCAGAGTAGATCTCACAAAAAGATCTAGAACAATCTAGAGATTGCTCTCTTTCTTGAAAACTAAGGTTCACATCCAGATACTGAATAGCTACAATGGAAGAGATATAAATCAACATTTAACACTCTGATATTTGGAAAACTTGGCTGCCTGCTGTCTCAGTTCCCAGTTCATGACTTCATTAGTAAATGTCAAAGGCAATTTCAAAATAGAGCATATAAGAATTTGAAGCCACACATCTTTACAAAATATAATAAAATTGTCATTGCTGTAACCCGAACACCTTTTTGGATGGTAATAACATGAAAAATAATACAACTGCACTCTGTAATGCTGGTAATATCATGTCTTATGACAAACAATTTTCTGAGTGAAGTTTTTCTTTTCTTTTTTAAGTCCCCATGCAAAAGGAATAGTGGAAATGTTTTTCTTGGCTCCCCCCCCCCCCCCGCATTGATGTAATTCTAGTTCTCTTCACTTTTTTGTAAAATGCATGGAACTTGATAAAAATGTTGTCTTTAGTTTCCACACAGTTGAAGATTAGTTCTTTTGCTGTTCTGTTGTCCAACAATAGGACAAGACATCTACTCCATTCAACAATTTTCCAAGCCATGTTGAATAGTTAGGAGCTGTGGTTCTCAACCTAGTCTTCACCACGAACCCCCTTTAAGTACCTTTTGTGGCTACAATTCATGGCCACGAACCCCCAAGATGTAACTCAAGATTTAAACCATAACATTTCTTCAAGCCTTTGCGCCCCTCCCCATGACATGGCACCCCCCCAGGGGTCCACAGACCACAGGTTGAGAATCACTGGTTAGGAGCATTTCAGAATGAATAGGAATATGGTGATAAGGCAAAGGCATTTTTTTTACTTTTTTTCTTTCCCATATATATTGTACCCTAATGGAATGTCTTAAAGAGTATAGGATTATCTGGAAGCAAAGAGATCTTCCTCTTATGCAATAGTTATCCATTGGATGTTCTGTTCTGATATTATGATGGATGTAAAGAGACATAGGGGGTCTCTGGTGCCCCTGGGCTCTCTGCTCTGATATAACAAGGGAACTGAGCCACCAGTACAGGTAGTCCTCACATCATGACCACTTGTTTAGCAACTGTTTGAAGTTACAATGGTACTGAATGTTTACAACCACTACTTGTACTTACGGCTGTGACAACCTCTCCACAATTATGTGATCAAAATTCAAGTGTTTGGCAGACTACTCTCAATTGTGACTGCAGGTTATGCTTAAATTCCTACCCACCTGTATCCGCCCCATCTCTGCCTTTTTGGCTTCCCTACACTCTACTATCCTTGCTTCCCTGATCTTTCCCTGCAGCACCACAGCCCTGCACACCACCATCCCACCATCCTTCGCTGCCCCAAGCTGAATTTTACCATCTGCTTCCCAGTGCTGACAAGGTTTGTCCAGCCTGGCCATTCATGAGGTTCTCCGAAAGCCTTGCAAAGCCCTCCTGGGGCTGCACATGGCTAGTTCATGAAGGGGCCAGGGTGGTCACACCTCATCAATAGCAGGAAGAAGAGGATGTCAGGGGCAATGGAGTGAAGGGTGGTGGGGTTGCAGACCAGAGTGAGGGGTGACCAAAAGAGAAGAGATGGCGGGAGGGAGAGAGGAGACTGGGGGGAGTTGAAATGGAAGTGAATGCAGCAGGGCAGGAAAAGCATGAGATCATTGACTAACAACAGTGTGGTTCTGGCATAATGACCACAACCGAGACTACTGGACCTGCTGTCACTAAGCAGTGTAGTCATGTGATGTCTCACCTAATGACCACTTCACTTAGTGATGGAAATTCAAGTCCCAATTAGGGTCATTAAAGGAGGACTGCTTTGTAATAGATTTGGGAGACTCTAACTTTCTCAGGTAAATTAGCTAAATCTGGAGAAATTTACATAATGTTTTATTCAGAAATGAATGAACTTGAATAAAAAGTATAATGCTTCCTCTTTCCAGATGGGCAGTCCAGAGGTGTTCTGGCATGCTGGGCCCATTAAACCTGATCCTTAAAGGGCCTCTTGACTAAGGCGCCTTGTAATTCTCTTATTCCCCTCCAGTTCAGATGCTGTGGTGTCTCCAACTACACTGACTGGTTTGAAGTGTACAATACCACACGGGTGCCAGATTCATGCTGCTTGGAATTTAGTGAAAGCTGTGGTCTTCATTCCCCAGGGACCTGGTGGAAAGCTGTGAGTATTAAATGAAAATCATGAGTCAACTAAGAAGACTAGAATTTTTAGACTCTACTGGTGAAAGAAAAATGTCATAGCTTTGCCTATTTGCGACATGCTGTTGTGCCCATCCTGAAGGGTGACTAGACCTCTAGCAGAAAGGCTATTCTGACTCATTCATCCTAATTTGGCATACTTCTCAGACAACCAACCAAGAGAAGGAGAGTCTTAATAAGTAGTTCACCTTTAAGTGTCAGTAGGAGAAGTAAAAACACATAACTCAAGAATATGAGTCAAGGCAACTTCTGGCAATCTGAAAGTTGCACATGCTTGTGAAAGGCACATAGAGGGATACACTTCCACAGCAGGCAGGTAAAGGTAAAATGGGAAAGGACAATTTTTACTAAGTCAAACGTAAATAGGCAAATACACTCGAAAACATAGTCCTATACAAATTCATATGTAACACAGAGGAAACAAGAACATCATGAGGAGCAAAAGGAATCAAATAGGAGCAAAAAAAAAAAACCAACAAGGAGCAAAAGGAGATATGGAGGATGGTGCAGGAGTTAAAGGGAGAGAGAGGCAAGTAAATTGAAAAAGAGAGAGGGAAAGGAAATTTGGGGGATGAAATGAGGTGGTTCGCCTGGAGGAAAGCCCAGGGATATGTATATGGTGATTCTTAGTCATCCAGGTCATGGTTGTCCCAAGTGCTTTTTTCAAAAGGCAACTGGAGTTTGTTTTTTCCTTGAAGACGTTTCGCTTCTCATCTAAGAAGCTTCTTCAGCTCTGACTGAAGAAGAGCTGAAGAAGCTTCTTGGAGGAGAAATGAAACTTCTTCAATGAAAAAACAAAATCCAGTTGCCTTTTGAAAAAAAGCACATTTGGGAGCACAAGGATAGCATATAAAAACTTTATTTTGCCCTTGTGGTCTTTTTTTGTTTGTTTGTTTGCTTGTTTTTCCTCAAGTGGCTTCTTTCACTGCATGAATGCATGCAGACTATTGTCTGTGGAGATTCTCAGTCATCCAGGTCATGGTTGTCCCAAAGGTGCTTTTTCAAAAGGAAAAGCCCAGTTGCCTTTTGAAAAAGCACTTTTGGGGCATGCAGACTATTATTTTTCAGTTGCTGAAAATATAGATTTCTGTATTTAGCTGGAGGTTGGACTTGAGAGCTTACATGATCCCTCCTAACCCGGGATTTTTTGAAATTGCCCCTTTTCCTCAGCTCAGTGCCAAGTTGATGTATGAACATCAAGGTTATCTTGAAGTATCTTTAATAGGAATGATAAAGGCAGAATGAGAATGCCTGTCTAAATATTCTATGATCACTAAAAATAAGTTGAATTGCTATGACCGCTAGTAGCCATCTTAAATGGTAGTGGCTAATATACTGCATAAGTATCCTAATAGCTACAGTAGCTCCTTGCAGTTGTTTCTTTCAAAACAATATTTGCTGAATATTGATTGTTGTAAAAATTAAAATACTCTTCTTATATAGACTAGGATTTTGAGTAGCTACTCCATAAATAATCATTTTTATTTAGTAATTTGCCAGCAAATAAAAGAAGAAACTCATCATTATTTAGGATAAAAAAGACAAAAATTATTGATGAAGAATAAGGCCCTTCTAAATTTTGGAATCATTATGTGACTAAGATATCTGGCTAGTCGGAGCAGATGTTCAGTGAGTTAGGAAGATGTTTTTAGATAGAACTGGTAAATCTACTTGCAGATTTAAATCAATGGCCCACTGTTTAAGATCAGCTAGTGTGTGTTCATAGCCTATGAACTATGAACACACACATAGCCTATGAACCAGTTACAGTGATGGCTGGCCACAGAAAGGCATAAAGATGTGATTTGGCATGTATTGCCTAGCATTAGGAAGATCAAAAGCTATTGATCATACTTAGAGGGACCACGCAAACTGATAAAAGGGATCTTAAACCAATAGAAGAAAATGAAAATCTAGGGGAAAATTTCTATTTGAAGTAGGCCAACTTCACAGCAAAACACCATGTTCAGAACACAGCGGGGTACTTGAAAAATTAATCTCAAGACCTTGGATGGAACTCTTTCAAGGGAAAGGAATGACCTGTAGGGGCTCAACTGAGCTCCAGAAGGTAGCTGGGCTCAGATCTTGGCCAAAAAGATTTTAATTGCTGCAGGTATATGCTGAGCTCCTTTGAAGAAGCAGACAGATTGTAAAGCCAATGCTGTTTTTTGTATGTTTAGGGTAACCTAATTGGCATGAGATTTTCAGTTGCCCATAGTAGGGAAAACAATCCTGAGATATTTAAAAGTCTTGACTTGCTTTATTGAGTATTGAGTATTGAGTATTCCTGCCATGTGATTCCATAAATTAAAAGACTGCTTTCACTAGAACCAAAGGTTCTGTGGAGGAAGGAATAGCTGTTTTCTCTGGTTATGCTTTTCCTTTTCTTTGGATCCTTTTCAGATCTAAGAATCTTCAAATATTGTTTTGGGGTAGAGGTTCCTTCTTTCTGCAGTTCCAGAGAACTGCAGATTTAGACAGAATTCCATTCTGTGAATCTCGGGATCAAACTTTAGCATCTTCTAGAGTGTGCCCAAAATGAGATCAGGAAACAAGAAAACAAGACTTTACAGTATAAGACAGGGGTAGTCAACCTTGGCTCTTTTATGACTCGTGGACTTCAATTCCCAGAATTCCTGAGCCAGCTGGGAGTTGAAGTCCATGAGTCATAAAAGAGCCAAGGTTGACTACCCCTGGTATAAGACAATACTGCCTAGTTTTATGTTGCCAATTCAGGAGATTGCACGCACAACATCCAGTGCGCAGTGGTGATTGGCATCAATTGGCCTGTTGTCACAGCAGACAGTGATAATCTCTGGGGAAGCAGCTCTGATGAAATAATCAGTACTTAGAGGTTTTCTATAGGAGGAACAGCATCTTTCCCAAGGAACATTCCTGCCATTCAGAAAGTACTCTGAAATCCATCCAGGAATACAAGAAGTTACCAGGGTGTGGACAGAGTATTGGGCTTGGAGACTCAAGCTCAACCACATCGCTTGTGAACACACTCAAAAAGTTACCTTATGCTGAAAAAATAAGTCCAAGGTGATCTGTCACAGGAATGTACCAAAACTAAAAGTAAATGCTACTGTTGATTCAATTGTCATTTTAAAAACTCTTGTCTTTATGAGTTGGGCCAGCAAACCCTCCTAGGAAATTATCAGTGCTAAAATTTAACATACTGACAGTGGGCCTGACATGTTAGAACAAATGTAATGTCATCTGGTTATTTTGTGGTTGCTAGAAGGCAAGGTGAAGTATTTGGCTAATGATTTGTTTAAGCAATAATTGGCCTAAAATTGCCTTCTCAAATTCTTGCCCAGCATTTCTGTTTAAAGCACTAAGATTTACTATTCAATTTAGAAATGCAGCAGTCTGATTTGTAGGGCATACATGAGAAGCAGACATTCTTTTTTTTTTGTTAATGAATCTTGCACAGAGTATCCACTTGATCTTCAGTTGTACAGTTTTTCTAGGCCTTTAAAGACATATTTCAATGCAAGCAAGTCCCTAGAGATGCTTTTCATCTCCACTGGAAGCTTAAATTGACATTGCCGATTACCAAGGTTGATATGAGTTGTAGGTTCTCCTTAGGTCTTTTACTTCCTTATAGCATATTTTTTTCCCTCCAGCCTTGCTACGAAACGGTGAAATTATGGCTTCAGGAGAACCTGATAGCAGTCGGAATTTTTGGATTGTGCACAGCATTGGTTCAGGTAAAAGTTCCCCTTATTTACTTGGTGCTCTCTGTTTATGTTAGCAAGGTGAAGGATTTAAATGCATCTCAGTTTATCTTTTACAAATATAACCTGGTATTAATAGCAAACTCCTATAAATCTTTCTCAAAATGAAATTCCATTGAATTTATTCATTGATAACTTGGTCCAGGATTATAGCCTTACCTAACAGAACTGCAAGAAGATTGATCTAAGGAAAACTTGTCTCTTTATGTTGAATGCTGTTTTGTTTCCTCCTGCTTGTGTGCAAACGTGCAAACATCAACAAGTCATGGATGTTTAATGATCCTTCCTTGGTTTAATTAGAGTATCTGATGATATAAAATAGCAATGGTTTCTCCATAAAGTTGGTTAAGCTTAAGTTAATGGGGAATAGTAATTGACTTATTGTGCCTTAGCTTAAACTGCAGGAGATCCCTCATAATGAATTTTTATTTGGAAGCAGGGCTGTTCAGTAATTACCATATTTTGACTTGATCACTTCACTGCCTCTTACACTTTAAATCTTCTCCTCCAATCCTCAGAATGTTGTTCTGAGATCCTAAGAACAGTATAAAGCTACTTAAAATTAACAAACAAGAACCATGATTAAAACCACTTATTTTGTACCACATTTGAGCCAAAACAGGCAAATATGTTGTTAACGTACAGCCCCAGCGATTTAAACATGTCATCACCATTTAGAATTAATCCTGTAGGGTTGTAGGATTTTTCCCTCTCTCCAAATTAATGTCACAATTTAATACAGAATTAGAGGCTAATCCTGTTAAAATCAGTGGATTTAAGTATGCCCAACTCTCCAGAATTATAGATAAAATACATTTCTACTTTGTAATCCTCTGTTATTTTTATACCTGATTATTTGTCATGGTTTTCCCAGAAAATAGTAGAAAATGAAAATTAGATACAGAGCTGGCCATTCTCTATTAGAGTTCCATAACACACTTCAGAAAATTGCAGTTCCCAGGATTTCTCAGCTAAAGGAAGTACTGTACTGTACATCAGCCTTTTGGTAGCATAGAGTCTTGTGCAGATTATTTACAGTATTCGCACAAGAACAAGCCTATAAACCATAATGGACACACAATCATAACTTTGCACAAAGCAGAGTAAAGGAGGACAGGCCATGTAGCACAAATCCTTACTTCTTCTGTGCTTGGGCAAAAAACTGAGGAGAAAGTTTGGCAGACAGAATATGGAGGGTTTAGCTGCCGTTTGGCAATGTCTACAGATGGAGTCAACACTTAACCTAACTATTGCCCCCAAAATACTCTTTTCTCTGGGCAGAAAGTCCACAAGGAAGCAAGATGCCCAAGCACAATAATGACATACGTAGATAGCCAAGCTAGATAAAAGTAGATGGAATCAAGGAGAGAACCATCCTAGAATTAAGACGTTTCCTGACAGTTAGAGATTCTGTGGAGATTCTCAGTCATCCAGGTCATGGTTGTCCCAAAGTTGCTTTTTCAAAAGGCAACTAGACTTTCTTTGTTTTTCCTTGAAGAGATTTCTCTTCTCATCCAAGAAGCTTTATTCAGTCGAAACTAAAGAAGCTTGTCGGATGAAAAGTGAAATGTCTTCAAGGAAAAACAAACTCCAGTTGCCTTTAGAAAAAGCACCTTTGGGATGATAGTTAGAACAATTAATCAGTGGAACAACTTGCCTCAAGAAGTTGCAGGTGCTCCAGCACTGGAGGTTTTTAAGAAGGGATTGACAACCATTTGTCTGAAATGGTATAGGGCAGTGATGGCGAACCTTTTAGAGACCGAGTGCCCAAACTGCAACTCAAAACCCATTTATGCATCGTCGGGTGCTGGGTGGGTGTGGCCCATTGGCTGAGTGTGGCCAATTGGGTTGGTGTAGTCCATTGGGTGGGCATGGCTGCAGTGGTAATGGCAGACTGGGTGGGACTAAAAAGTTCAACCAATCAGTTCCAACTTTGCAAGATCTTTTTTTCCCCACGAGAAGTTGAAATTGACTGATTGATTGAACCTTTTTTTTTTTTGTACACGGCAGCGGAGGCCTAAAGCGAAAAGGTTTTATAAAACCCAGCTGAAGGCCTAGGACTGGGGCGACGGCGCACATGCCCACAGAGAGGGCTCTGAGTGCCGCCTCTGGCACCCGTGCCATAGGTTCGCCACCACTGGTATAGGGTTTCTTGCCCAAGCAGGGAATTGGACTAGAAGACCTCCAGGGTTCTTTCCAACTTTGTTATCCTGTTAGAAAGGAGAGAATGGAAAGGGGCTTTTGCCCCTCTCCCAAATTATCTAATCTAAAGATTTTTTTTCATCAATATTGAATAAAGCTACGATTGAGTTAGAATCCAGGTTTCTTTCCTCTCTTTTCTTTTTGATTGTGAAGAAATTTCATAACTGGCTTTCCATTAGGTTAGCCCCAAGTTGAGCATGCCCTGTTGATTATGGAGGGCTGTTTTATGTAGAATTGGTATGCCCTGGGGGATATGGGAAATTCATTACCCCTTCTGGATCCGAAGTGTGCAACTGTGCATATCATTAAAAAATAGGGATACAGTTGCATGCTGTTTAACCCTGACAATGATTTTTGTATCTACAGATTCTTGGACTGACATTTGCAATGACCATGTATTGTCAGGTTGTCAAGACAGACACCTACTGTGCATAAAAATCATCTTCAGGGTCCGTCAGCCACCTCTCCAGAAGACGAAAGAGAGGACCCTCCATCCTGTTGTCATATTTTTTCTATGTAAAATAAACTGTATAATCCTCTATGGAAAAAATTGTGGATCACCCTAGTTTTGTCACACCACTCAAACGGTATCATCGTGGGAATTCAGACTTGCTCCGACAAAATAAATTCTTCTCTCTAAATGACAAGAAAACAAAGAAAGGAGCGGCTCTCTTTTGCACAGACTGTGGTTTAGTTCGAGGCTGAGTTTAATCTTTTTTTTCTTCTTCTCTGCAGGCTGTTGACAAATAGAAATGTTCCATCTAGCCCTATTTCATCAGTCCTCAAATTATAGGGAGCCCTTTCTCATGACGATAGAGAGGATGTGGAGCAGCCATTTCTTAGCATTTGGTTTTAGCCAGCTTAGCACCTCAGCCCGGGGGGGCATGCGTTGGACTCTCAGAATTGTGTCACAGAATGAGAGGTCTTTGGGGAAAGCTCGAAGAAATGGTTTCAGATGTCAGGTCAGATCTGGCAGTAAACAGAACTGGAATTCTTACTCTTTAAATCAGTGTAATAGCATTCAAGTACTAATGTCTGAATACATCCATATAGATACATACTGATCATTCTAGCAACTGCCTACAAAGCACATCAGTCCTCTCTTCCTCTGTATTCCAAGGGACCATGGAGTCAAATGGAAAGATATCCTAGAGAAGAAAGTTTGGCCACTGAAAAACAAGCAATTACTTCAAACAGATTTATTCTTCAGCGAATATGTAATCACCTTTCTGTCACTGTCCTCTGGATTTTCTTTTAAGTGTCATTCCAGTTTTGGTGTTCCATGTGTCCTTCTTTTCCGTAGTTGGCCCCTTCAGCTCTTTGCCTTTTCCTTAATTTGCTTTGTCACATTTTCACCTTTAAATAGGATAGATTCACTAGGGGCGGGGGGGAAAGCCCATGCTGTAAACATGCATTGTAGTTGCTTTTTAAAGAAACAAATTACTCCAAGAGGGATTGGGGAGTTTGAAGAAATTCCCCACTAACCAAAAAGGTTTTAAACAGACATTCATTTCCCTTTTTCCCCTTTTTGTCTGCATTAACATACATAGAAGAACATGCAGGTAAAGATTTTCAAGCACATTCCCATCACTGCTTACAACCATAGGCTAGTGAAAGGCTAGCGTAGATTACCTGCTCGCCATCTCAACAATGAAGATTTAGATCAAAACATTTGGCTTTGTCTGTCCTGCTGTAGTTAATCATATATGATCCAAAATGAGTGGGTTATCAGTGTAGGTGAGCACTAATATGTGTATTAATATGTTCAGGCTGATAGAAGATTGACCAGACTTAAAATGCATAATTGAAAAAGAAATTATATACCTTTAAATCTGTGGCTATCATAATTGGAAATGTTCCTGATCATGAATATGTTGTTCATGATCTTAATGTCCAGTAGAATTTAAGGTCGATGTGTATACATTATTAGTCCCCTCAGAGGCCATCTAAAGACAATTCCCTTCCCTTCAGCAAAGGGATATTAATTCAGCCCTTTCCTTTCTTTCCATCCTTTTATGTACAGTAGATCATTGTTTATTTTTCCAGTAATGGGAGCTAATGAGCCAGATTGGTGCCGTAGTTAAAGTACCAGGCTAGAAACCAGAAGATGGTGAGTTCTAATCCTGCCTTAGAAGCAAAGCCAGCTGGGTGACTTTGGACCAGTTGCTCTGTCTCAGATCGAGGAAGTAGACAATGGCAAACCACTTCTGAATTCTTGTGAAGAAACCTGCGGGGACTTGTCCAGGCAGCCACCAGGAGTAAAACCTGACTCAAAAGCACCCCCTCCCAAAAAAGGAAGACAAGAATATGCAACCCTGTGTTGAGGCCTGTAGGTTTCTACAAGTTATTTTCCTCTTCTTTAGTATTCATGGTTTTTTGAAGTGTATAAGAATGAAAGTTTACAATTACAAAAAGAGAGTCAAGCATATAAATCAAGGCCAACTATGTCAGTAAAGCCTAACACCCTTAACTAAGATGTCCCTCTGCAAAACTAAAGTTTCATGATTCCATGCAATGTTTGTGTGTTTGGGGTGTGTGTGTGTTGATCTTACATCTGACACATATACTTGATTGAAGACAAAGCAGCCAATTTAGGGTACAGTATTATCCATTTAAACTGTATAAATGGCTTCAATACAAACTTTTAATACACAAAGAAAAAACATGAAATGTGACAATATGTTGACTATGATAAGAAAACTAGAATATTATTCTCATTTTCTGTAAAGAAGCACTACCTCAGGGCTGTAATTCAAAAAAAGAACTAGTATAGGTTAGGATTTGACCCCTGGACCAACTGGTGCCCATGCTCTACAGAAGTGGTCCCCAACTTGTTTGGCACCAGGGACTGGTTTCATGGAAGACATTTTTTCCATGGACTGGGATGGGGGAGGAGCGCACAACCTAGATCCCACACATGGATAGTTTCACTTGTCCGTGCTCACCTCCAGCTGTGCTGTCTGGTGCCTACAGGCCATGGACCGGTACTGGTCTGCGGCTGGGGGATTGGGGACCCCTGCTCTAGAGCAGCATTTCTCAACCTTGGAACTTTAAGATGTGTGGACTTCAACTCCCAGAATTTCACAGCCAGCATGGTTGGCTGAGGAATTCTGGGAGCTGTAGTCCCACTTATCTTAAAGTGGCCATGATTGAGAAGCACTTCTCTAGAGCTTATCAATTAAGATATTGCCTACCCATATTCATAAATGAGTGAACAGTCATAAGCTGTCCAGCGGTAGCCAATTTTGGCAAATATGTAGAAATTCCTATTCCACCCTGCAGTTGACACTTTTGATTCCTCTTGTCCTATTAAATGTGCATACAAGGGTCAAGTATGACTTTAAGCAATAATGTACATGCTATTTTCCAATTCTTCTGTGGTTTTGCTGCTTTCCCCTATACAGGAACAAAGAGTGACTTTGAAATTCCATTGCTGTTAGTTGTCATTGCTCATTACCTTTGACTGTTTTACAAGCACCTTACTGACAGCTTTTAGATTGCCATCTCTGAAGACCAGTATCATAAAATAAGGCAATACAAATGAAACATAGGTTCTAAAAGTAAAAGATGAGTTCTAAAAAAAAATATTAAAATACTCCTGAACAGCCCCCCTTTATACAAATAAAAGTAGGTGACTCAGCAGATTACTCACAGAAATTAAGTCACAGAAGTGAACAGGATGGGAGAATCTCAGCAGGGAATAGGTAAGCATTAATCATTTCTTAACACTGATTCAAAAAGAAAAAAACTAATAACATAGCTCAATAATTAAACAATAACCTCAAAGGCTTCCTGAATTTTACAGGACAAACAGTAACAAATGTTTCATAGTTTGGAAATCTAGATGAATAGCCTTGCTGTCTATTTTGTGCATGCTGGCCATTCATTACAAAGATGGAGGTTTTGCTGTTTCTGCAACATCACAACAAGATAGGTAGGCTTCACACTTGTTGAATCTTTTGTGTTTAGAAGGCCAAGATAATTCTAAGCTGGGATTTTATTTTCAGTACCCAAACTGAACCAGCTAGTAATGTTTTCATATTTAACCTTATTATTTATTAAGTTTATAGACTGCTTTAATCACTAATGGCATGTGATTGATTTCTAAGACTTTATTTCAGGAGATTAATTTTAATGAAAAGACTATTTTCTTGCTGTTGTTAAATAATTGGAACCTCTTTTTGGGATATTGTAGGTCACCTAAATATCTAGCAACAGATTCCAATCTCCCTTCTACACACTGGCAATATAACAATTCAACACCTATTGGGTAACACTAAGCTAAAAGAACACCATCACGTTAATAACTTTAAGTATCTTCATAGCAAGCTTAAATCACCATCACACTATCCAAAGCAGATGCTGCTCTTGGTTCACAGGACATTTGTCATGACAAAGGCAGGTGCTGAAAATCCAAGGAACATAGTTACTGTATATAATGAAATACTTAGACGTTTTTCTTTAATGCTGTTAAAAGTACCCGTACAGGACAGAATGCAACATAGAGAGCCTTTACTTTAAAACGAAAGGCTCTGTATCATGGGGAATTACTTGCTTATCAGAGCTTTCTCCTTATGCACATTGGAAAAAGCTTGGTGCTAAAGCAAATCCTGGCTGCCTGTAACACAGAAACCAAACAAATTTAGGAAACCATTACCAGCTGTCAGACTAGGGACCTGTAACTAACACATCTACACTCATTATGCTTCATTAATTGGTCACTCAAATCCCTGTTTTGTGTGTGGGGGGGTTGTTTTTAGGGCAGAAAATAATTGAGCCCGAATAAGCAACAGTAAGCAATTCTTACAAGTCCGATCAAAACAAAGAAATATTTGTGATACTTTACTAATACTTTAGTGATGTGTATTCCAGGCAGCATTCAAGAAGCCTGTGCAATTCCTTTACTACATTACAAGCACAAGGCTTTATGACCAAAGCCATTTATGATCAGCTGTGCAGCCTGCTCCCTAAAGATTCAGGTTTGGATCCAGGATGCTTAATTTCTGTTTCATGGCCCAAAGACTTAAAGTCAATGCAAATTAAGGATGTAGAAATGAGTTTACATTTCTTTCTTACTTGCTAGGAATGTGACTTTTGTCTATTGTGAATATCCCTAAAATGATGTGTGCTTTAATATACTGTAAAATAGCTATTAATAGCTACCTAGGTTTGTTACCTATGGGGAGAGGCTGGGAGAAGGAAGGTTCAGCACAGATTAAATAATAGGTTTCTAATCTACAATGTGGTTTTTCTAGCACATTGTTTTAGGATTTCTCTTTCAGTTTGCCATATTAAAAGGTACATTTGCCACATATGCTATGGAAGAACGTGCACCTTAGAAATCCAAGCATAAAGACTTCTTTAAAATTGTGCAATGATGTTGCTGATAGCACAAAGTAACTCCCAGGAGTCAACACAACCACTGGCAACGGCATCAGGAGGACACTCCAGGATTGGGATTACTAGAGATGGGGCAACGTAATGCTCTCCAGTTATCCTGAACTACAGCCTTCATGTAGGTGGACTGTGATGGGACTTTGAACTCCAGAGATCTGGAAGGCACCCATTTAGAAAAGGCTGGATTGGAATGTAATAATCATGTATTGAGATTCATCAGA